CAAGGATGGCCAGCTATCAGAAGCTGAAATAGACAAAGAAAGAACTCCCCCTAGAACTGGTGGTGGTGTGCCATGGAGTTAGTTCGGACTCATAGTGAACTTGTATAGGGTTTCAGAGGCTGTAAATCTTTACTGGAGCAGAAAGCTTCATCTTTCTCCCATGGAACGGCTGGTAATTTCGAACTGCTGACCTTGAGGTTAGCAGTCCGACTCTTAACCCCTATGCTACCAGAGCTCCCCTAGAACTACACACTCTGAATTTGGACTTCTTGCCTCCTAAACTGAGAAAATAAATTTCTGTTCTTTAAAGCCACACACTTGTGGTATTTGTTACAGCAGTGCTAGAGAACTAAAACAGATGCCCATGTTGTGGGTCATGGAAAATGTATGCATACAGACAGTAGTGTGAGTGAGGTCCAGTGGCCCCACATCTTCATCAGCACTTAAAATTATCCAACAAAAGGCAGAGACGATGACCTGGAGAGATAGAGCAGCTGAGGATTCTAGACCCAGAGAGGGAGAGAGGCTGCGTCCTGACAACCGAGGGGCAGAATGCATGGAGGGGATCGTAATCATGGAAATGAAATGATATACGATAGGATGAATGTAAAGCTAATGTTCTCTCATGTAAAGTATCACATAATTCACAATAAAAACTTTTTAAAAAATCACAATCATAAAAAAATAAATGAAATTATCCAGTAGAATTTTGAATTCACAAGTGAGCCAGGGTGGTTTTCAACATGGGATTGAAGTCCAGCTCCTCCTCTTCTGGCTGAATGACTTTGGCTAAATGGCTCCCTCTCGCTGTGCCTCAGTTTCATTCTCTGAATAATGAAGACAAGTATGGTACCAACCCAAGTAGTGCTGCAAAGTGGAGACTGACCTATTGTTCAAGAAGCCAATGGTAATTCAGTGGTAGAATTCTTGCCTCCTCTGGGGGAGACCCCTGGAGTCCTGGAGTGGCACTATGGAGTCCTGGGTTGATGCTGTAGGATCAGAACTGGACTGCTAACTATGAGGTTGGCAGTTCGAACCCAACAGCTGGTCTTTGGAAACCCTATACAGGGTCACTATGAGTCAGAACTGACTCCACAGCATTTCACAACAACAGCAACATGGGGGGTGTGTGGATCTGGATTCAATTCCCAGACAATGAACTTCATGGACAGCCACCATCTGTCTGTCAATAGAGTCTTGCTCTGATATAAAACAGTTCTCAGTGGAGTTTAGGACTAGGAAGGAAAATTTAGCAATTTACTACCAAAAAATCTAACAGTGAAAATCCTCAACAGCAGCTAACAAGGAAAGATCTATGCACTCTTCTGAACAGGCTGCTTGGTAAGGAGATGAAGAAGCCCTCCTCACAGGTCCCACTTCACTCCTAACAGCTCCTTAAGGCATCCCTTGACACTCAAGATAAAATACCCGTGTTCAGAGCAGCTGACAAGATAGAAGACCTGCTGGACAGGAGATAGCTATTTAGCCAAGGCTCAGTGCCCGGAGTGGCCATTCCTCTGAGTCTGGCCAGGTGACACAAGTTCTTCGGGCTCAGAGTCTCCAAAAAAACGTGTCTTGCAGGACACAGATTCCCAGATACAATAATGTTTCAGGAAGCCAGTGCTTGGAGTTCAAATAAGTTTGTGAGCTGCTGCTGGTTTCATCCACACTGATGTTGGTAAGTCTGAGTACTTCACTGCATGCTGAGCACCAAAATGGCACTTTAAAGCAACCCTGAGCAGGCTTGCAGAATGTTTCCTTTGGTTGTTTAAATGATTATATACTCCTGAGTGTTTTTGTGTACATCCCCCCAACCCCCCTCCGCAAAAAAACCAGAGGGAATAACAGCAAATACTGTTGAATGATGATACAAAGAGGAGATTGTAATCATAGCAATGAAATGAGTGTAAAACTGATGCTCACCCATAAAAACTAATCACTCAATTCACAATAAAAATTAAAAAAAAAAAAAAAAGGAAAATCACATCCATGCCATTTTCAGGCTGATAAATTTCATGTAGTTAAACTAATTACAGGTTGTTCTACAGAGAAGTGGTGCCTTTTTAGAGCCATTTATTTGGGAACAGATCAATTTATGCTTTTGCTAGGATTTTAAGGCATGACTCATTAAAAAAATAGATTGTAGATAATATATGTTGTTGTTGTTGTTGTTATGTGCTGTGGAGTTGGTTCCGACCCATAGTGACCCTGTACAGGGTTTCAGAGTCTATAAATCTTTACGGGAGCAGAACGCTTCATCTTTCTCCTGCGGAACAGCTAGTAGTTTCGAACTGCTGACCCTGAGATTAGCAGCCAGCTAGTGCTAAAATGCTGTTCAAATCACATGGAAGGATTTCATACTTTAGTACAAATGGAGGCATCAAGATGGCTAAATTGTAAAATATCACACCTCTTCTCTAGACTGAGATTATTCAATCTGGGAAGAAAGAGGGATGAGATTACGATTAAAAATGAGGAAAGAAAAAATAAATATTCATCTCTTTTTTCTTTAAATCCATACTTAAAAATATACTGAACTCTTTGTATTTACGTCATGGATATTAGAGGCCTGAAATAAAATAGAGGCTCTGTTTCTACAGTCAACAGTATATTCTGTTCCTGAGAAATGATTCAAGTTCCTGAAATGCCCATTAAAAAAAAAAACAGCAACCCTGAAACCAGATGAACTGAATGGTACCCATCTACCACTAGGAACTGCTCTGAAAAGGATCACATTAGAAGGTCCTGGATCGAATGGTATAAAAGTGTGGAACAAAACTCAAAACAAAAAAAGCCATGCTTCAAGACCTGGGGACTCTTGGGCCCAGAGTCAGTGACAAAGCCACAGAAGACTAGAGTGGAGAGTGAAGTGCCCAGTTGATAAGAAGAGAGGGCATATGCATAAGAACACCCACACTTGCAGATAATACCCACTTACCCTGGCTTCAGTGACTGGATGATCAGAGCTCAACCAGAAGTAAAAAGAAGAGGGGAAAAAAAAAAAAGTATTCTCATACAATTTGATGAACTTGACCTACACCTATGGAAGCAGTAGCTCAAAAAAGGGAATAAGTCCTTACACCAAGAATCATTCCCACCCCCTCCACACACAGAGTAGACAGGGATGGGCAACGTGGACATTGGCTACCCAAAATGGGAGGGGCGGGGGGCTACAAAGGCAAGAAGTGACTGGCTTACAAGCTTTCAAGAGGGAGCCTAGATCCAGAGGGCCTGGAGGAAGGTAGAATCTCCAGTGAGTAGTATTCAATCTGACTAGGCGGGGCTGATGCAATGAAATGCAGATGGGTCTCTTGTGATACAATAGTGAATAATTGTTATCAGGACTGACTGTGAGAGTTGGAAATGTAAAGGTGGACATTTTATAGCAAGGAGGGGAGTGATTAACTTTTCATTCTAGGAGCGGAGGTCCCTAGGACCATCAAGGGAGAAGAGCAGAGAACGGGACCCTACCCAGAGAAGCAGTGTTTCCTGAAATGGAGCCAGAGATGATGATGTGGAGCAATGGAGCAGCTGGAGGCTTTAGATCCAGAGAGGGAGACCGACTGTGTGCTGAAGACCTGGAGGATAAGGGGGAAGGATTGCATGCAGGAGACTGTAACCATGGCAATAAGATGATATACGACAGAATGAATGTAAAACTAATATTCTCCCATGTAAACTGTCACATAATTCACAATAAAACATTTAAGAAAAGAAAACATAAAGAAATTTCTAAAAATTAAAAAAAAAAAAAAAAAGCCATGCTTGCTGGTTGGATATTGACTGGTGGAACCCCCAGATTATGGTCCTTAGTCACCTTTTAGGCCTGGAAGTAAACTCAGGTTAGGAAGGATAGATGGAAATGGAAAGCACTGGGAAGAAATGGGATGAGGAATGTTACAGTGTGGGGATTGCAATCAATGACATGAAACAAAATGTGCCTGAATTGCTGAATGGAAAACTGATCTGCGCTGTAAACCTTCACCCAATTCACAATAAAAAGTTAACAAAAAAAGGGTTGAAGGGAAGCGAGTGTGTGTGTGAAGGGGGGTGGGGGGCGGAGGTTGTGAAGTAGGCAGAAAGAGAGGGCACACAAAGTGAGCAGGAGAGAAGGTCATGCTGGGAGTAGCCCTGAGGTCAGAGAGGACCTTGCCCACCAGCCACTGTCGTCCAGTTGATTTTTATTCATAGCAACCCTGTAGGACATAGAACTGCCCCACAAAATTTTCACGGCTGTGAAATTTCTGAAAATTACAGAAGCAGACTGTCTCATCTTTCTCCCGCAGAGCAGCTGATGGGTTTGAACCACTAACTTTTCAATTGTTGTTGTTGTTATGTGCTGTGGAGTCACTTCCGGCTTATAGCGACCCTGTACAGGGTTTCCGAGGCTGTAAATCTTTACGGGAGCAGAAAGCCTCATCTTTCTCCTGTGGAACAGCTGGTAGTTTCGAACTGCTGACCTTGCGGTTTGCAGCCCAATTCATAACCAATTGGCAGCCCAATATTTAACCTACTGCATCACCAGGGCTCCTTTGGTCCCAACTCAGGCTAGAAGTCCAAAACCAAGGTGTCAGCAGGGTCACCTGCTCTAAAGGCTATAGGAAGGCCTGTGACCTTATGCCCAGGTCAGGCCCACCCCCAGGAAACTCCCTCTGGCTCTCTAGTGGGCAAAATGATCTGGGCACCCCGGCCTCACTACAGCCCAGCCAGAGTGCCAACATGGGGTCTGCCCCCTCCCCATCCCTAGCACCAGACCTGTTACCAGGATACTGGGGGAAAGGCATTTCCTGCCTGGATGTCTTGGCAACTCCCACTGCCATGGAGACCAGTTCAGAGTCTCCCAGAGGTAGAAAGGGGCTGGGAAAGAGGAGGCCAGGTTGGGATCTAACTGCAGAGAACCTTTTAGGTGTTGGGGCAGCTGAATCCCAGAAGGGGCTGAACAGGGGCATCTGAGGTTGGGGCAATCACAGCACCCACATCTGTCCCCAACCCTTACAGTCATGTTTATCACTGTGATGTTCGGAGGTAAGTGGGGTCCCCTCTCATTCTCTGCTGGAGGAGAATGGGAGGCAATGGCAGGAAAGGGGTACAGATAGGGTAGTGAGGTTGGGGAAACAGTCTTGCTGGGGGGAAGTCCTGGGTGATTCACACAGGGCTCCTGGAAGTTTGGGTGACAGATGCCTCCAACCCACCTTGAGCAAAGTAAAACTGCACATCTCATCAAAGTTCTTGTCACAGATGCAGATTCTGGACCCTCGGGTGGGGCTGGGAATGGGGGGAGCATCAAGGGGTCCCAGCAATGTTTCCCTGTAACTATGTCCTAATCCTTAGGAGAGATAGGAGTGAAGGGGAGCCCACCCACTGAACCCTCCCTCTCCCCACAGCTGGCTGCAGGGAGCTGGTGAACCCCTGCTGTAGCCTGGTGACCCTAACCGCCCACCTGAGGCAAAGGGGAGGTGTCCCCCCAGATGGTGAGGGCCTAGAGGGGTGCTGGCAGGAGGGGCTGAGGGTCCCAGATGGGAGTGCCAGTCCTACCTGCCTCTGTCCCCTGTCCCACTTTGCCTTACAGTGACTCTCGCCCTTCTGGCTAAGGACAGGCACCTGGTGAGCCTGGGCCTGGAGGAAGGGGCTTCCCTGGCCCCCATGGTAGGCAGCAACCTGCTCCAGGAACGTGAGACATACATCCTCGTTAGGATTCTCAGTAAGTGGGACCCCAAGATCTCTGATATAAGAGGTGAATACAAAGAATGGGGGAGGCTGGGGCACCTTCAGGCAGGACTTAAGGCCCAGAGTGAGGTACAGTACAAAAGAGTGGAAAAGTTGCAGGGGGCAGCAGGTTAGCAGGCAAGCCACGGTTCTCTTTCCCCTTCTATAGGAGGAGAGGATGGAGCTCCCACCCGCTATGAGTCCCTAGTAGAGAACCTGGATGACCTGTGTCCTGAGCTGGCAGGTAAGTGTCAGGGTAGAGACCCTAGGGTGGCAGTTGGAGGGGAGCACCCTGCCCCAGATCCCTGCAGGCAGAGATTCCTGGACCTTACAGAGGAACTACGTCGGCTATCAGGACTTCCCCCGATGGGCGATGGTCAGAGAAGACCCACGGAAACACAGCCCCAACACTGGGAACGAGGTCGACTTTCCAGACCTTCAAAGGGGTGCTCCCTGCCCTCTAGGACCTGCAGGAGCTACCAGAAAAAACTCAGGAGCCTGGTATGTACAGAAGAGATCTTGACAACAGGGAACACTTAGCAGCGGGACCCCTTCTAGGGCACTAACACATATGTACTGACAGAACCCCCCCCATGCTAATCCCTTCCCCAACACATACACACATATCCACCCTGTCCCCAGAGCCACATCCCTAGAATCCGCCGTGAAGGCAAGATGGAGTCTATCTGTTTGCTACACCCTTTACACATGGGAGCATGGGGCAGGGCTTGGCACATAGCAAGTATTCAGTGAAGTGCATGGATTGCACAGAGGCAGCAGCTCAGAGCATGGGGCCTGAATTTGAAGGTCTACTCCTCTGTCCCACAGGCCCCATGACCTGGCATCCTGAGCCAAGTGACTGAGCTGGACTTGGAGCAAGCAAGCCAGTGTGCTCAAACCCAGAGAGCACCAGTAGGAGACCTCTCTCAGTACCTGGAATCACTGGGCCATTGCATCAGCAGAGACAGAAGGTCACAGGGACACTGGGCAGGAGGCCGCCTGGCACTCAGAGGCAGGAGGGAGGGTCAGACATCCCTGAGTCACCTACTGATGACTCACGGTCCCCTCTGGACCACCCTCAGAGCTTTGCTGCCCAGTATTCCCCCAGCCCCACCAGGATGCCTGCTTGAAGAGAAGTATCTCATGCGTTCATGAGACATTCACCAGGCAAGCAGGCAGACACAGAGTTGGTGGTGGTCTAAAATCAGCTCTTTTAATTGCACATTTGCGTCTCTGATCTTCTGTGTGGGGAGAACCCCTCTCCTCACTCCAAGTCCCATCTATAAGGGTACAATCTGACGTCGTGGTCCATTGTCGGTGAGGGATAGGTGCCAGGCCTCCTTAGGGCAGGGAGCTCAAGCCTTTGGAGAAAGGGAAAGCACAGGTATGGTCAGAAGATTGGTGCTGGCCAGGCCCCTCTGCTGGGCCAGCAGGTCCCCTGGATTACTCACCGTGGTTATACTTGCACTGCTTCAAGGCCTCACTGAAGCCTTCACACAGGGAAAGGTCACTCTGAGTGGTTGAGCAGTCCAGGAACTGCCTGATCTCATAGGCACACAACCCCAGCTGTGAAGGCTGTGGAGCATTGCGGGCAGGGACCTGGATATAGCGGGGGAAACAGCAAGATCAGCTTGGGAACCACCTGCTTCTCCCCGTGACTCCCACTAGGGTGATGAAAGGAAGAGGGGAGGAGGGGCAGTGGGAAGAAGGCTCTAAAAGTCCTGGGGTCTGCTGTGTTCTTAAGATATGTATGAGTCCACTTCCACAAGTTCTAGAACCTTCTTATCTGTCACACTGATCCTCAAGACACCCAGAACCCCTGGCTTAGCTGCAAAGCATAATTTGGCTCAGGACTGGTGGGGAGGGAAGGGACATGACACCCAAAGCCTCAAGGTCACTGGATGTATTTGCCATTTGGCTAAGGGTCTGCAGTTCCAGATTTGGTTGTAGGGATAGCAAAGACTCTAGAATATCCACATCCCTCCATTTCTACTGGGGTTAGGTAGGTAATTGTGAGTAGTCTCCAATCTCTTGGGCCTGTTTCCCCTCTGTAAAGGGCTGGTTAGTGTTTGTCCCTGAAAGTCTAGGGACCCGATTAGCAGTAAGGACTAGTACCCTCCGTGGGCTTGGGCGAGGGGCACAACCCAGCAAGAATCCAGTCATCCCCACAGCTATGTGGCCTAGGAAGGATCCTGCCTCAGTTTCTCATGATGCCTGTGGCTCACCTGCTGGGTGGTGGGCTGGGTGGGCTCCGAGCTTCCCCCGCTGAAGGCCCCGGTCAGGGCGCTGCCCACGACGTGTCCCACAGCCGAACCCACGGCCACCCCCGCGGCAGTGGAAGCCATCTGTGCCATGAGGCCGGGCTGGCCCGAAGCGGCAGGGGCAGGAGTGGCGGCTGAAGGAGGTGGGTGAGCCGGCGGGTGGGCAGAGGGACGGCTGTACAGAGGAACATAGTGACCACGGCGGGACCCCAGACCCTGTGGGTACTGAAGACATCCCCTCACCTCTTGGAGGGGGTGTCCACCCTCCCTTAGGCACATGGTGGTGGCAATCCCATCCCTTCCCCCCTCCAAGATGGCGCAGCAGCAGCCAAGGTCATATTAGGGACGCCTGGAAGGTGCCCATGCTTCCCTGTACCACTCCCTACTGAGCTCCTGTACACCCACCTGACTGGCCGGGCGGCCGCGCTACGACTCCCCCGGGGCATAGCGGAAGTTGTGCGGGATGTGAGTGAGCAGGCTGACTCGCAAAGATCGCGGCGTCTCTTCTGTCTCAGGGACTAACGCAGCAGCACTTGTCAAAGTGGGAGCAAAGGGGCGGGAGGGGGCGGGGCCTCGTAGACACACCCCTTAGCTAGCGGCTTTGGTCAGGAGAGGTCTCGTCCTACACCCTTGTACTCGACCTCTCCTTCCAGCATGCCTGCTGGGGACGTGACCGTGCACCCTGCCTGCGCCTCTTTGTGCCCACCCTGCTCCTTCCCTGCGCCCCGCCTTCACCGTGCCTGTATTCAGGTCGAGCTGTATGGGGCTTAGGGACATAGCACAAAGTCGCAACGTGCTGAGGGTTTGAACAGAGGCGAAAGGGGCAGTCCTTAAAAGAGCAGGATGGTGGTGGTGTGCCGTGGAATCGGTTCCGACTCTTAGCGACCCTGCATAGGGTTTCCGAAGCTGTTAATCTGTCTTTATGGGAGCTGGAAGAAAGGGCAGAGAGTAGGGTGGAATAAAAAGGATTAAATTTGAAAGAGGAGACAGGGAGCAATGGTCTGAAGTCACTTGGAGAGAGGAACAAGAGGCGCCAGGCAGGTTCCCTCTTCCCCGCTTCCCACCCCCATAGTCCTTGTGTGGTGCTGTGGGATAAAGCACCGAACCATAACGTCGGTTTGAACCACGCGGTTCAAACTCACCAGCCGTTCCTTAGAAACCCTACGATGTTGTTGTTAAGTGCCGTCGAGTCGATTCCGACCCATAGCGACCCTGTATAGGGTTTTCAAGGAGCAGCTGGTGAGCTTGAACTGCCGACCTTGTTCAGACGATTTCGCAGTCTGACGCATTCGCCCACAGCGCCACACCAGGACTCCTTAAGAACACTATACAGGGTCGCTATGAGTCGGAATAGACTCGACTGTACTTAACAACAACTCGTAGAGACGGAGTTTGCTGACCACGCCGTGGCCTACGTCTCTGGTAGTGAGCCGGAACCCGGGGACCTGGAGGAGAGCCAGTGACCCATCTCCAGCATCCCCGCCAGGGGGCGTCGCGATGCCGTTTCGACACTCCCTAGGCAGCGTCCACCCTGAGAGAGTGAGACCCCAGCACTGGGTTCAACCCTTGGACCCTGGGTCCACCTTGCAAAAGGATGCGGCCAGGGCAAAAGGATACGTTTATGCTGCGTTCTCGCAGCTTCTACAACAAAGGTCGAGTCCCAAGGCCCTAGATGCATTGGCGGGGCTCGAATGGAACCCAGTAGAAATGTGGATCCCGCGGCCTTTCTTTTCAACACTTCACTTTCAAGCTTAAGGGTGGTCCAGGAGGCTCCGGGTTAGGGAAGAATGTGACGCTTCCCAACCCATGCGATATTTCAAGGAGAGTTTACAGTTGTCATTATTTACTTTGGCTAATTTCTTTATCCTCCACTGTCACTGTTGGTGTGGCGCTGTGGGCTACTGCGTCAGACTGCAAAGTCGTTTGAACTGCAATGTCGGCAGTTCAAGCTCAACAGTTGCTCCTTGGAAACCCTATACAGAGTCGTTCTGGGTCGGAATCGACTCGACTGCACTTAACAATAACAAACATCACTTTGGGGGGAGCTCAGTGGCTCATAAAATAAACACTGGACTGTGAACCACAAGGTCCAGGGTTCGAGCCCGCTAGCAGCTCTGTTGGCGAAAGATGAGCCTTTCTGCTCTTGCGAAGATTTAAAGCCTCGTCCTGGTATGGCACTGCAGGTTAAAGCGCTGGACTGCAAGGTTGGTTTGAACCACGAGGGCGGCAGTCCTCGCCAGCTGCTCCTCGGAAACCCTGTACAGGTTCCCTGAGTCGGAACTGACCACGACGGCACTTAATAACAACAAAACCCATACAGGGTCGCTGTGAGTTGGAATCAACTCCACCACCACATTGTTGTAGGGGCCCTGGTAGCGTTACGGGTTAAGCCTTGGACTGCTAACCAACTGCTCCTCTGGAGAAAGAGGAGACAGCTCCTGCCGCAAAGCTTAACAGTCTCAGAAACCTACGGAGCAGTTCTACTCTGTCCTATCGGATGACCATGAGTTCGGTATCCACTCAAAGGCAGTGGGTAGGTATCTGTTTCCAAAGGCCCCTGGGTGACACAAACGGTTTTCACTCACCTACCTGGTGTGGCACTGTAGGATAAGCAATGGACTGCTAATCACAAGGTCGACAGTTAAAACCCACGAGCTGCTCCTCAGAAACCCTATATAGGGTCACTAGCGTATTGATTACGAATCGGGCTGCGAACCTCAAGGTCAGCAATTTGAAACTACCAGCTGTTGCGCGGGAGAAAGAAAGATGAGGCGTTCTGCTCCCGTAAAGATTTACAGCCTCAGAAACCCTGTACACGGTAGCTATGAGTCGGAACCGACTCCACGGCACATAACCATCAACCAACCAACCATGAGCACCTAACAATATAAAGGCGGTCTGAGTCAGAATTGACTCCTTGGTAGTGGACTTGGTTTTGGCACTGGACAAGGTCAATTGTGCCATCTCCCAGATAGATCGTTCTGCCTCTGCGGTGGGGAAACCAGTTCGCAGGTGGTGGGTACCACCAGTCACAGGCTGTCCTCCAGGTCAGGCCACCATAGAAACCCTTTATGCTTCCAAAAGTGGGGAGATGCATGGAGAAGGATGAAACCTGATTCTCATCAATCACATCAAGTCTAAAGTGTTGTATGCCCATGACACAGAGGGGAAACTGAGGCCTAGCGCCGCACGGGCTGGCCAGGGTCGCCCAGCACCGGACCTCTAATTCCAATGGGGACAGGACAAGTCCAAGTCCCCTCCCAGCCTGCTAACCTGGACCGGCCGCCTCCCCCACCCTTACCCCTACCCCCCACCCATGTCGCAGTGGCAGCTTGGCTAGTGCAGAACAAAAGGCGGCGGGCCGGGGGCGGGGCCGGCGGCGAGGGCGGGGCTCAGGCTATAAGCCGGGGCGGCGGCGCGGCCCAGCAGGCCCAGCAGCCCCGGGGCGGATGGCTCAGGCTGCAGGGCTCCGCGGCGCGGCCCTGCGCACCCTGCTGCTCTTGCTGCTGTTCTTGCTGTTGCCGCAACCGCTGCAGACCCGCGCCCCGAGGCCATCGGTGAGTGCCCGGGGGAACGGCGAGGCCCTGAGCTGAAGCTAGGTGCCTCCAGGGCGTGAGCTTCCCGTCCCAAAGGTGTGCAAGCTGAAACTCTGGGGCTGGTGCGGCTGTACTCCAGGCTGTACTGACGCCCCCTCCCAGCCTGAGTGGGAAGTCGGGGCTGCGGGGCTGGTGGAGAAACAGGGCTTTATTCAACTCCCAGACAAAGCTGGTTTCAGCGGATGTGGTCTCCAGGTGTATGACTGTCCCGGGGTGGAGGTGGGGGGCGGGGGAGACGGTCACTTGCAGGTGTGCCGTGGGATGAGAGACTAGAGAAAGCTGCGACTGCTCGGGGAAGCAGGAACTGTAGATAACTGTGTGTGACCGTGAGGGGGCTGAGAAAGGTACTCAAGGTTCTTATAGCACAGAGGTGGACAAAGAAAGGGAAAGGAGAAAAAGGTGTGATCCATGAGAAGAAAGTTCAAGAGATCTGCATAGGGTGTGAGTGACAACCAGTGTGAGCCTGGGACCAGAGCCTGGGCAGAGGGACTGGGGGCAGGCTCCTGGGTGTCTGAAGCAGATTGACTAGTAGCTAGGTGTGGTCCTGCCAGCTCTGGTAGGAATGAGAGGAGGGAGGGAGAGGTGACAAGTGGGAGTGTGAGGAGGAGGGACTCTGACCTGGTAGGAGGAACCTTTGTCCAGGTTGCACCTGCTCTGCTCTGGCCACAAGAACAAAAAGGGGCAGTCTGGCTTTCATCAGGTGAGGTGCGTCTCTATTGCAAGGCTCTGCCTCTTCCCTACTCTCTCTGGGGCCCCTAGAACTTGGGACAGTTAGGAACCACTTTGGGTGTGGTTGAATCATGCCCTGGTTCTGGAATTGGAGAGGGATGAGTTTGAGCCAAAGAGTTCTGGTGGTGCAGCGAATTAAGCATTGGACTGTTCACCACAATGTTCCAGGCTGGATCCCAGCAACTGTTCCTTGGGAGAAAGATGAGACAGTCTGTTTCTGTAAAGAGTGACAGACAGCCTCAGAAACCTGTGGAACAGTTCTACTCTGTCCTATAGGGTCACGATGAGTCAGAATCGACTACCCAGCAGTGGATTTGGGTTTCAGCCCTGTGACCCTGGGTGAGTCCTCCTCTGTCTGGGACTCTCACTCTCTCAGGACAGCAGTGCCTACAGGTGGTTCATAAAAGACCCTGGACATTTGTACAGGACTGGTGAGGGGAGCCAGGTCTGAGCCCACCTGTTGACGGTCACTCCGTAGATACACAGGGAGCATTTGGGGTCACTCAGATATGTTTATCTCCAGTGCTGTCAGCAAGGCAAGAGGGTTCTGTAAATATTTATTCCTCCCAGTTCACAGCTTTTCTGGGTGAGGAACTCAAAACTGGATGAGACAATGCTGTCCTCCCTCCTGTAACCAGCAGGGGAGGAGTGGGAGGAGGGGAGGGGGACGGTGACAGGCAGGAAAAGGAGATGGAGCTGCTTACTGGGAAAACAGACTGAGAGCTTGGCAGTGCTGCCTGCCCACTGCTGTGTGACTAGGGCAGGTTCCTTGACCTCTCTGAGTCTCAGAGTTGGTTGATGCTGCATAGAATAGGGTGGTGGTACTGTCTTGCCTTCCTCACTTCAGGGCTGCTTCCTGGAGCTTCACACCACTTCAGCTGGTTGCTATCGAGTTGGCTCCCACTCTTGGTGACCCTATGTGTGTCAGAGTGGCACTGTGCTCCCTAGTGTTTGCAAAGGCCTTTCTCCCAAGGCATCTCCGGGTGGACACAAACCTCTGTCTTCGTTTCTTTGTGTTGCTACAAATACCGTAGGCAGGTGGCTTTAAAAAACAGGTTGATTTTCTCACAGCTTAAGAGGCTGAAGAGGCCTTCCTCTCTGTGGGCTGTGGGTTCTTGTCTCATTCAGAATCTGGGCTCCTGGCTCCTTTTTGGTCCTCATACAGCATCCATTGTCCCCATTTGTGCTTGCTTCTCTCTCTGCAGTTATGTCACTCAGTAGTGACTTGGTTTAGGGTATGCCCTACACAGAATGACCTTGTCAATGTAGCAAATAACCCTTCTTTGCAAATAGGATCACATCTACATAGGAGGTATATGGGTCAGGACACCAACACATATGTACTTTGGAGAGACACGGTGCAAACCTTCCAGTTAGCAGCCGAGGTTCCAGACAAAGTATAGCTATGAGTCACTCTCCTCACTGAATGGACAGCAAGCAAGCTGAGGCCTGAGAGCATTCAGTGAGCTTTGATCCGCCCTCATCTTCCCTCTACTAGGCACTGACCCAAGGGTTGACCCTAGTCTCTGTCTGAACTCCGCTGGGAGCCTGGGCCAGCTGAGAAGCCTCTCAGAGTGACTGTGGCTATAATTGGGCACCCTTAAGAGGCATGGCTGAGTGAGCTGGGCGTTGACCACCAGGCAAGTCAAGGAGACACTGATAAAAGACATGCCCAGAATGTGGAGCTCGACTGTCTTGAGGGCCAGGAGCAGAAGAGTGGGGGTGCTTTGGACTCTAAGCCCAACCTGACTCACTGTGTGATCCTGAGGACAGTCCTTGACTTCTCTGGGCTCTAGTTTCCTTGGAGTGATGTCTACTTTCCAACCTTTCAGGGCTGTAGATAAGGTCAGGTGTCTGTCCAGCACAGGCACCTCACTGCTGCCCTGGGAAGACTAAACACCTCCGTCTGAGGACTTGGTTGAGGCAGCTAAGGCAGTATAGGACCAGGTCCAGGGAGGACATGAAAAGATGAAGCCTGGTGACTACTGGGGCAAACAACGTGTGTCCCACCCTTGCAATGGGGAAACTGAGGCCCATCAAATAATGGGATCCCAAAACAACACTACTAGGAGGCATCAGTCCTAGGCTCCCCTGTTCACCTCTCCTGAAAAATCAATAAACTATGATGTGGAGGGGTGGCCATGGACCACAGACTTGCATGTGTCATCTCTGCTTGAAGAAACATCACAAAAGTGCCCACCAAGCTGTAACTTTTCGTTTCCTTCATGGGGAGATGTGGCTTGGCAGCTGGAGGTGAGGCTGTGGTAGTAGCTGGTGAGAGTAGATTCCAAAGTGTTTTGTGCCATAGGCTGCCAGAGAGTCAATTCCAACTCATAGCAACCTTATAGGACAGAGTGGAACTGTTCTTAGGGTTTCTGAGACTATAAATCTTTACGGGAGCAGCCAGCCTCCTCTTTCTCCAGCAGAGCAACTGTAGATTCGAACTGCTGACCTTCTGGTTAGCAGCCCAACACTGAACCTACTGTGCCCAGGACTCTAGGAGGCTGGGCTCAGTCAGGTAACACACAACCAGCAACCTTTGAAAATGGGGGCCTGGGGGGGGCGAGCAGAGACTGGCCTCAGGCCTCACTCCCAGAGTGGCTCCAGGTGTTGGGGTTCAGAAACTCCAGTTTACCTGGGTGCCCTTTCATAGTGGCGTGTTCTTAGGACTGTGACATAGAGCTGGGAGGGCTGGGACCTGCGCCTGGGAGAGCCACTAGGACCAGAGTGAGGCGGGACCTGAGTGGCCCAGCTCAGTGCCCCAAATATGGCCATGGGAAGGCAGCAGGCGCCAGGACAGACAGGCTCTAAGTCCCAGACCACAGCAGGCTCCTTCGGCTTCCTACAATTGCCCTGGGGACTCGCCAAGGTAGGGAGAACACAGTTCCAGGTTAGAGTTGCCATCTGTTGTACTGGGGCTTCTGCATCAGGGCAGTGATGAACTGGCCCATGTCCCAGTGTAAAGGCAAGGCAGGCCACATTATGTACCAGACCCCATTCACCAAAGCTCAGGGCTTTCCATGCATAAGTGGACCTCATTTCCAAGGTGTTACTAAGGCCACACCCCAGGGCGCCCTTCAGAGCAGGAGAGACAACAGAGCTGGTCACATAACTTGGGAAAGGAGAGCAGGGGTGACCCTGGGGGGAGGGGAGAGGAGAGCAGGAGGAGCTGATCTGGAAACATCTCCTTGGAAACTTTTCAGGCACCTCTCCTTGTATATGTGAGAGTGCCAGCCTCACAGTGCCCCCTGCCCCCAAACTCCATCAGGCCTCACTGGCTAGAGTTGGTGACAGGCAATCTAGGCCCTTCCAAAAGTAGCCAAACAAGAGGGTCAGCCAGGGCCATCTGAGGGCACTCTGTGTTGTTCCTTGGCTCAGTTTGCCCATCAATGCTGTGGTGGGTGGGACATTGCATACAGGCAGGGTGGACCTTGTGAACCCCAGGCTTGACTGGCCCCTCTCATGCTCTCTCCTGCCCAGAATACTTACCGCCACCACCTTATGAGGAGGGGGCCACCGACCCGGCTGGCGTCACTGCTCAGTAGCCTGGTGCCTGCCCCTACTACCCAGGAGTCCCCCAAGCCTGCTGGTGGCCCCAAGCTGCCCCGCTGCGGAGTGCCTGACCTGCCGGATGAACTGAGTGCCCGAAACCGGCAAAAGCGGTTTGTGTTGTCAGGCGGACGCTGGGAGAAGACAGACCTCACATACAGGTAGGCCCGGGACCTGCCTGCCACCTGTGTGTGCCAGTGCCCCACACCTAGGCTAGATTCACATACCATCCATGACCCCACACACCCTGATGATCTCCCAGCCTTACACCTGGGCTAGACTAACACACCATCCTTATCCCAATACCCTCATACAACCTAAAGCTCTCTCAGCCTTAAACCTGGCTTAGACCCACAAACCATTTCAAGACCCTGACACTCCCGTAGCCTTACACCTGGGCTAGACCCACATATCATCCAACATAATACCCACACCCCCCTCAGCCTCATGTGAGCTAGACCCATATACCATCCATGACCCCACATACCCACATCCCCTGACACTCTCCTAGCCTGACACCTGGGCTAGACCCACACACCATCCTCATCCCAACACCCCCACATCCCCTGAGGCTCTCCCACCGCAGAGTGTACATACCTTTTCCAACAGCAGGAGCCTTAGTGTAAGTCTCACTCACCCTCTCAACGTCCATTTCATCACCCACAGCCTCTCCTGGGGCCCTGCTTTGTGGCAGACCCCAGGCTTCCTGTGGAGGAGGCAGACACATCCAGTGCTCACGGAGTGCAGGCACTAGCAAATCATTATGTGAATCCCCCATCACAGCCTGGGACCCATTCCTTGGGGGACCTGGGTAGCCCTGGGGGATGGGAGGTGTGTTAAGGAGAAGAAAATGTTGGAGCAATTTGATGTCACCAGCATTGGGGTCTAGACCACAGGAGCCACTGCAATGTCTTAGTTGGGGAGCTGAGCACCAAGAAGTGGGGTTGGGTCAGAGTCTCCCTGTGGGAAAGCTATTCTGTCAGGTCCGGAACATGGGGCTTGGAATGCATGGTCTTGTGGATACCTGTCTACACAAGCCCACACAGAGATATGTACACCTGGCCCAGGTTCTGTGTGTGTGCATGCACTCGAGCGTGCACACATACACAACATGCCCCACCCAGCATTCAGGGACGACTCTTTCTACAGGATCCTCCGCTTCCCATGGCAGTTGGTTCGGGAACAGGTGCGGCAGACAGTGGCAGAAGCCTTGCAGGTGTGGAGCCAGGTGACGCCACTCACCTTCACTGAGGTGTTCGAGGGCCATGCCGATATCATGATTGACTTCACCAGGTGACCTGGTGCCCTGGGATGCTTCAGGGAGCTGGCTCTGCCTGCCAGCAGACACTAACTCTGTCCCCTCCCCACTCCTCCATAGGTACTGGCATGGAGATAACCTGCCATTTGATGGGCCTGGGGGCATCCTGGCCCATGCCTTCTTCCCCAAGACCCACCGAGAAGGGGATGTCCACTTCGATTATGATGAGACCTGGACAATTGGGGACAACCAGGGTATGGGCTGGGGGACCCATTTTCTAGATGGGGTGCCTGCACAGATGATGGGTCCCCAGGCTGGGTGATACACTGTTCCCACCCCTTTCCAGGCACAGACCTTCTGCAGGTGGCTGCTCATGAATTTGGCCACGTGCTGGGACTGCAGCACACAACAGCAGCCAAAGCCCTCATGTCCCCTTTCTATACCTTTCGCTACCCACTGAGCCTCAGCCCTGATGACCAAAGGGGCATCCAGCACCTGTATGGCCGGCCTTGGTCAGCTCCCACACCCAGTGCCCCAACCCCAGGCCCTCAAGCTGGTGTGGACACCAATGAAATTGCTCCCCCATTGGAGGTGAGGCTCAGAAGGTGGAAGATGGGAAGCTTTGCTGCTTGGCTCCTGGGCTCTAGGCCAGGATGCCCACGCAGTGGCCCCCATGTCTACAGCGTGGCCCTTTCCTGGCTCTCTACCCTCCAGCCGGAAGCTCCACCAGATGCCTGTGAGGTCTCCTTCGACGCAGTTTCCACCATCCGTGGTGAGCTCTTCTTCTTCAAAGGTGCCTTCGTGTGGCGGTTACGTGGAGGTCAGCTGCAGCCTGGCTACCCTGCGCTGGCCTCACGCCACTGGCAGGGGCTGCCCAGCCCCGTGGATGCCGCCTTCGAGGATGCCCAAGGCCGCATCTGGTTCTTCCAAGGTGAATGGGGGGTGAGAGGCTGGGCTTGGGAAACTTCCCAAGGCCAGGAATGTCACTGCCAAGGGGAGGGACAGACAGGTTCCTGGGGTGAATGAGATGAAGCCCCCGGGACAAGGATGATCATGGGATATCATAAGCGGAGCTCCCGAGAAGGTGGCTTTCAAGATGGGAACACGGGACTAGGGCGTTAGTGCAGTAACCTATGGGGTGGGGTGGGGGATGGTTTTGGCAATAGATTAAGCATTGGGCTGCTAACCATTCGCTCTGTAGGAAAAAGATGAGGCCATCTGAGTCCATAAAGATGTATAGCCTTGAAAACTCTATGGTGGCATTTCTACTCTCTTCTATAGGGTCGCTATGACTCAATGGCAGTGGGTAGTGGGTTTTTGTGCAAATGAAGAAGTCCCAGGGCAACCCAAAGATTTCAGTGCTTGGCTGCAAACTGAGAGTTTGGTGGTTCAGGTTCTCCCAGAAACACTTTGGAAGAAGTCCTAGTGATCTACTTCTAGAAGATCAAGCATTAAAAACCAATGGCTCACAGTTTTACTCTGGCAGGCATGGGGGTGCCACAAGTCTGAGTCAACTGGATGGTAACTGGTTTTGTGCACATGAGGCCTCTGGAGCTGAGACTGGAAACTACCCTCCTGAGGACAAATCTGGGAAAGCTGTGTGGGGATGTGATCTGGCCCGGTTCACCCTGTGGCCTGTGCTTTGGACTCAAAGAGATGAAAGTCTGGTGCCTTGAAGGTGGCAGGACCACAAACAACGGCCCCACAGGGAGTGCATGAAGGAGTTGGGGCTTCCAGGGGCTGTTGGGGCAGAGTGGGGACCCAGCCAGTAGTCAGGAACCCTGTGGTGAGCTGAGCCTGACAATGCAGTCCTGTGGGCACTTCTGGTGCCATGTTTTACAGATGAGGAAGCTGAGGCTGGGCAGGACTTTGCTAGGGGGGCAATGGGGTGGGGACCTGGCCACCATGTAGCAGCATTTTTCTCCTTGCCAGGTGCTCAGTACTGGATGTATGATGGTGAGAAGCCAGTCCTAGGCCCTGCACCTCTTTCAGAGCTGGGCCTGGTGGGCTCCCCGGTCCATGCTGCCTTAGTCTGGGGCCTTGAGAAGAATAAGATCTACTTCTTTCGAGGCGGGGATTACTGGCGTTTCCACCCCAGCACCAGCCGAGTGGATAGCCCTGTGCCTCGCAGGGCCACTGACTGGCGAGGCGTGCCTTCAGAGATCGACGCAGCCTTCCAGGATGCTGATGGTGTGTGTGGTGAAGGCGACTAGGAGGGGTTGCAACTGACCATGGTGGGCACCCTTCTCCTGTCCTACAAGGGCTTCATCCTCCCATTCAGCCCACCCCCTAATGGCCTGCTGCTGAAGAGACCAAGGCTCAGAGAGGTGCCATTTTATAATAATAAAATAGTTACCACAGTGGTCTCTCACAGAGGTAAAACCTGTTATTGGTCCAGTTTTCAGAGAAGTAGACAGAGCCTGAGGCAGTGAGGTCCCTAATGGAGACCACCCAAGTGGAAGCTGGGACCACCACCCAGGCAGTCCCTGCTCCTAACTACTCTAAGTGCCAAGGAGATTGCCAGGCTGGGCTTTCCATCCAGTGTTCTGTCCACCCCCTCCACCCCCTGCCTGTCTGTCTCCCACGTTGGGGTCTGAGGGCAAGCTGTCCTGAGGAGCTTCATGCCCTAGTTCCTGTCTTGCCCACCTTGCCTCAGTACCCTGTTTGACAGCAAGTGGGAGAGAGAGATGGGTATTGAAAGAAATGTAAAGGTGGGGGTAGGCGGGCAGCAGGGCTTGCTTTCTTGAGAGGGAGGGATTGGGGCTTTATGGCTCAGGGAATCTGTCAGGCTGGGTAAGCAGCAGACAGGTCCAGATGGGAAGTCTTCTGATTGGACTGGTCTCTGCAGGTTACGCCTACTTCCTCCGAGGCCGCCTCTACTGGAAGTTTGACCCTGTGAAGGTGAAGACTCTGGAGGGCTTCCCCCGCCTCGTGGGTCCTGACTTCTTTGGCTGTGCCGAGCCTGCCAACACTTTCCACTGACCCTAGCCTATAATGCCCTCAGGGCCCTGACCCCTGCCAGACCTTGGACTGACTCAGACTGTAGACCTAGTGCCAATTCTGTGGCAGCAGTGGGCACTGGACAGGGAACAGTCACAGCAGAGTGGGCCACGCAGGTCGTGGACATCCACCAGCAATGGTCCCAGATGGGGCAGGCACTACCCAAGTGACATAGGTCACGGTCAGGCCCAGCTGTCCCTTGGAAGAGGACTTCTGCAGAACTGGGGGGAGCCAGAAAGTCCTTATTTCCTCTACAGTGGGGATTGTGGGGTGCTGCCTGGACCTTCTCCTGGTAACTTGCTATGGGTTTGGCTGCCATCCAGTTGGTGATCCTGGGGTTCTGCTCCCTGGAATTCAACCCCAAAGGACCAGAGTCAGCTGGGGAGGGGGTAGTACTTCCTGATGGAGACTTCATGCCCCAGAGGCCCCAACATACCTCATTTCAGTCCTGGATGGATGCCCCACAGCCCTGTCTGGCGCCATTTCCCTGGAACTCTTCCCCAAAGCCTTGTAAATGTGTGTACAATGTGTACAAAGTCTTTTTTTTACCAAAGTATTATCATTAAACATGTTCCTTTTCTATCTGCCCATGTAATGTCTCTCCATGGTGGTGTGGGCAGGCAGGAAAGAGCCTATGGTCCCAAGCTGTGGGTGCACCCTCATGCTCCACCCTCCATCACGCCTTCCCAAACCCCTGTACCAGCTACTACCCAGTCAATTCCGACTCTTGGCAACCTCATGTGTGTCAGCATGTAACTGCTTCATAGGGTCTTCTTTCTTGCTTTTATAGCTTTTTACTGTGGCTTGGGTGAAGCTTTACAGAGCCAGTTTTTCATTCAACAATTCAGACACATTCTATTTCCTGTCATTGATTACAGTCTCCACAACATAACCTCACTCATTCTACTTCCTCCCTGTATTTCTTATTTCCATTCTTCTTTCTTTCTTAACCCTTCTGATCTTTGACCTGGAATTAAGTGCTTCCCTTGTGATCACAAATGATTGATTACTCTAAGGAGTGCATACCTCCCTGATGTTATTGTTCCCCTTACAGAACTGTCTAGTGTTCGGCTGAAAATTGAGCCATGTGGTCCATAATGTTTTCAGTGGCTGATTTTTCAGAAGTATGAAGGGACTTCCCAAAATCTGCAGAAAAGTGGAATTGAAAGATACTGGAATTTTCCACAAACTTTTGAAGCTGCTCAAGACCACCAGATCTTTCTTCTGAGACCCCTCTGGGTGGACTCGAACCTCCAACCTTTTGGTTTGCACCCCTGGGGAACTCCTGGACATCTGTTCCTTACCTTACTCACTGCCATCGAATCAATCCCAACTCATACTGAACCTAGAGGACAGAGTAGAATAGCTCCTTAGGGTTTCCAAGGCTGTAAATCTTCATTGAAGCAGACTGCCTCACCTTCCACCAGGAACACTTGTTAGGTTTGAACCACCAACTGTGAAGTTAGCAGTCCAATACTCATAGTGCCAGACATTTGTAGTGGCTTCCTAATTGGCTGCCTGCTTTCCCACTCCCCCCCCCCCCCTCCCGCTGTTGTCCACAAAGTAGCTATATTATCCAATCAGACCCTACCCTGCCCATTTTTAAATACTTAGTTTCCTCACTGCTGCCAGGGGAACAAGACTCCCTGGGACCACAACCCACTCATTTGACTCTCCTGCATCTTCAGCCTGCTACCCAGCCCTTAGTGTGTTATCTTCATAGCATGTATCACAGCAGCAATGTTGTTACAGTGAAGCAGATTGGTTATTTTAGCAGCAATGTTGTTACATTGAAGCAGATTGGGTATCGCAGCAGCAGTGTTGTTACAGTAAATCAGATTGGTTTGTCACTATTGGACCATTTTCCAGCACATTGTTTTGCGGCATACAGCCAACAATCTGATGTCAGGGCTGTATGGTTTCCCTTACCTGCACCTGCAGGGCTTGCTGTGGGCACACAGCATGCTTATCTGCAGTACCAGCCAAACCAAATGCTACCACTTCCGTATGGTCCTTTCTGCCCATCCCCACAGCCATAGAAACAGGTTTGGGTGTGAACCTGGAGTATGTTTTCATGATATCTCTTAAGAGTCCTGGTGGTACAGTGGATTAAGCAGTGGACTGCTCTCTGCAACATCAGTAATTCAAACCTACCAACTGCTGTAAGGGAGAAAAATGAGGCAATTCTGTGCCTGTAAAGATTTACAGCCTCAGAAACTATATAGGGCAGTTCTGCCCTATAAGGTCACAGAGGTTTTTAACATGGATTTAAATAGCCCTATTTAAAGTGGCACTTGTACAGTAAGCACTGGACTGCTAACCAAGATTGTCAATTCAAACCCACCAACAGCTCCACAGGAAAAAGATGAGGTTTTCTGAACCTGTAAAGATTTATAGCCTCAGAAACCCTATACAGAGTTTTTATGATCTGGAATCGACTCAATGGCAGTGGATTTGAGGTTTTTTTTTTTTTTTTTTTGATGGTGCTACAGTGCATGAAGCATGTAGCTGTTAATTGAAGGGTTAGCAGTTTAAACCCACTGGCTGTTTCAAGGGAGAAAATGAGACAGTCTGCTTCCTTAAAGATTTACAGCCTTGGAAACCCTTTAGCGAAGTTCTACTCTTTCTACTCTATCCTATTGTAACCGGAAAAAAAAGTTTCTCAATCACCTGCCGCCAATATAGCCAATACTTAGAAGCCCGGGTTAGAACATAGCATTTATTGTGTATCAATGCACAGGACAAAGGAGCAAGAATCTCCCAATTCTGCCTTCCCAATGTTAAAAGGAAGGGGGACTTATAGGTATCTTGGGTGTAGGGTAGGCGTCCGAGGAATTCCAGAAACTTCTTTGTTGCTTTGTTTATGTCGTCTTGTTGTTCTTTCTGGACATGTTGCCTCGAACAGACATTTTCCCAGGAGTGGTTATCAGTAGCCTTCACAAGACATGTACAGCTGTTTCTGTACCTTCCTGGGATAGTCCTTGGGGATTAGCTACTAATTAAAAGAAAAAATGATTAATCTCTAAAAAAAATTAACTATGGGGTAGTAATTGACTATGACAGCTAGTTAGGGAAGAAGCTACATTTTAACTATTGCTATTATGACTGTCCAGATTCCATTTCTGTTTTGGTGAAGCTACAACTTTCCCAGTGCCCTTAGTTTCGCTCTAAGCCAGTTCAATATAGGGTTACTATGAGTTGCGACTGACTCTCGATGGCAGTAGGTTTGGGTTTTTCTTTAACTGTTGGGCAGCCTGCATTGGGGATGGAGAAATTAGTTGGCCTGGGTTGGCAAACACTCCCAGGCTTCCAGATATAGCTCTGTCCATCTCCACTGGGCAGAGTTCCAGTCCCATCTGTAACAATTGGAAGCCACCACCCCGAATCAGGCCCTCAGTAACTATTTCTGTCCGTTGAGAGCTTTCCTCTGCACCATGACTTGGAATGCAACCGGGGAGGAAGAGAAACGGGACACGGCTCCTTTAAGGAAGCCACGGGGGCGCGCCGTCTTTTGTCTTGGCGGCGGCGAGTGCGTCAGCGTCAACGCCCGCGCATGCGCACAGACTGCGGCCTAAGCGGAGGCGGCGGCTAAGGAGCCCTGGGCGACACTAGCACCCTGCCCGGCTCAGCCTCGCCTCCCGGCACCGGTTCCCCTCGGCACGCTCCGGTCCCTCCTCAGTCCTCCCGACCCTCCGCAGCACTATCCCCGCCGCCTGCCGCTGCCGCCGCCATGATGATGATGGCGTTGAGCAAGACTTTCGGGCAGAAGCCCGTCAAGTTCCAGCTGGAGGATGACGGCGAGTTCTACATGATCGGCTCCGAGGTGCCCGCAGCGCGTCTTCGTGGGGGGCCCCCTGGGCGGGTCTATGGGCTGGGGTGCGCGCACCCAGCCGGGACTTTGTGGGGGCGTGGTCGTGGCCAGTAGGGGCGGAGCCCGCCCTGGCTTCACACAGGTTCTCGATTTTGCATTTAGTCCCACTTGCACGTGGCCCGGGCCTCAGCCCACTCCCTGGGCTCAAGCTTTAGCGGCTCCAACGTTGGCCAGACACAAAGAAACGAGGTGCCTGGATTCATCTCTACTATGCAGGAGGGGGTGCACCTGCACTCCACTCCCTCATTCCATGTTCTACCCCACCGACTGCCGTGGTGATTCCAGCTCATACCGACCCCATAGCCAAACCCATACCAAGTGATTCTCACTCACAGAGATCCTGTTAGGATAGTAGAACTGCCGCCACAGAGTTTCTGACATGTAACCTCTAGGGAAGTAGACTGCCTCATCTTTCACCTGATGACTGGTTGGCTGGTGGCCTTGAACAACCAACCTTTCTGTTAGCAGTAAAGCTCTTTAACTGCTGCGTCACCAGGGATTCTTTAATAAGGCACCAAACCAAAACTTGACCACCGTACTCAAAGAAATTCCAACTCATAGTGATCCCAGGGTTTCCAAGACACTAAATCTTTACCAAGCAGACTGCCTTACCATTCTCCCAGGAAGAGGCTTAGCCTGCTGAAAGAACCCCTTTCATTCCATCTGAGCTTGTGAAGTCAGCAGGGTAGAAACATGGGGCTTGGTGAGGGCACCTTCCTCTTTGTGTTCTGACCTGTGTTTTTCTCCTGGAGGAGATGGGCTGGGAGTCAAACTGCTTTTGGATGGAGAGGCCCAAGTAGCTAGATCTCAGCATTTCCATTTCCAATGGACATTTTGGAGGTCTGCAAATGACCTGACTTGAATTGTTAATGGGAGGAAGGTTCTGTCGCTTTAATCCTCAATTAAAAGTGCTAAGGGACTACCAAACCCCAACCCACTGCTAACAAGTTGATTTCAGCTCATAGCTTGCATCTGTATAAAACCCTGTAGGGTTTCTGAGGCTGTCAATCTTTATGGAAGCAGACTGCCTCATCTTTCTCTGCACAGTGTCTGACTTTATGAAAATCCTACATGTGATCCTCAGATGGGGGAGGGGGTTGTACTAATTAAAAGGGTAAGTCAAAAAAAAGTATTATTGTTATTGTTCCAATTCATACCTGCACGTTTACTACAAACAAAATATGCCTTTGCACTTAGTGGATACCTGCAGATAAATTCTCTCAGTGAGGCACTTGTCTTTAGTCTCCGTTAGGGTGACTTTCAAAAAAAAGGTCTCATCGAAATTGGCTCATTAGGGGATTTGTTGGACTTGCTCTATTCAAGGCAGAGAGGTCAGCCCAGAAGGTATGATGATTGGTTGTGTTTTGGGATTCCAGAGGGGCATCTTAATAGATTTTGAAGGACACAGGACGATCACAGGGATATATTAGGAAGGAAATTTAAGATAATGGAAAACTGCACTTGCAGGAAAAAGGCCAAGAAACTTGTATCTAGGAATTTCTTTTTTTTAATTTTGTATTGTTAACTGAGTGTAGGTTTACAAGCAGATCATTGCTTTTACATTCAACAAATCATAGCACTTTATTTCAAAGATTACAATCCCTTCCATATAACATTAGTTATCCCACTTTCTCCCTGTATTTCTTATTTTCATTCGACTCTCCTTCCCAAACCTTCAGAACTTGGTCCTTAGGTAAATGCTGCTCTTGTGATCTTGAATGGTTGACCATTCTCTGGTGAGCATACCTTAAACTAATGTTGTTCCCACTATACACTGTCTACAGCTTGGCTGAAAAGTGAGCCACATGGTTAGTTTAGTTCCAGACCTGAAGCGTGACCAAGGACCAGTCTTGGGTTCCGTCAGTATCTTTCTGACTAGTAAGCCTGGTCTTTTTTGAGTTTCCACCTACATTTTCTCTCACCCTATCCAGGAGTCCCCTTCAGAGCATTTGGTAGTGGTAGCTGGGTAACATCTAGTTTTTCTGGTCTTAGCATCATGGAGACTGATGTTCATGTGTTCATTGGTCCATTAGACTAATTGATTCTAAGCGTCTGTGATTTTCATCACTTTTTTTTTTTCCTCCACACAGGGAGAGACCAATAGTTGCACCTTAGATGGCCACTCATGAGCGTAAAAGATCCCAGTAGCTACTCATAAAAGTAGAATAAAGAACATTGACATTGTTAAATGTTATGCCACTTGACCATGATATCCCTTGGAAATCCTGTACAGGGTCGCTATGAGTTGGAACCCACTCCATGGCATATAACCACCACCACCACCATGGGCAAAATGGAATCCTGGTGTGATGCTATAGGATAGGCACTGGACCACTGATTGGTTTGAACCACAAGGTCAGTGTTTCAAACTCACCAGCTTCTCCTCAGAAACCCTATTCAGGGTTGCTGTTAGTCAGAACCAACTTGACAGTCCTTAACTATAACAGCAACATATGCAAAATATTCAATAATGCAGAAAACATCAAAAGAAGATTGAAGGAATACAGAATAACTGTACCAAAAAGAAATGGTTGATGTTCAACCGTGAGGTAACATGATCAAGAATATGAAGGAAAAAGGCCAAAGTGCACTGAAGGCATTGGCAAAGAACAAGACTCCGGGAATTGATGGAATACAAATTGAAATTGATGCAATAGTACTGGAAGCACTCACTCACCAGTGCCAAGAAATTTAGATGACAGCTACCAAGCCAACTGATTGAAAGACATCCATATTTGTGACCATTCCAAACAGAGGTGACCCAGTGGAATTCAGAAATCATTGGACAATATCATTAATGTCACAGACAAGTAAAACTTTGCTAAAGATATTTCAAAAATGGCTGCAACAGTAGTACACTGACAGGAAACAGCCAGAGGTTCAAGCTGGTTTCAGACGAGGACGTGGAACAAGGGATATCATTGCTGACGTCATATGTATCTTGACTAAAAGCAGAGCATATCAGAAAGAAGCTTACCTGTGCTTTATTGACTACACAAAGACTTTCAGCTGTGTGGATCATGAAAAGCTATGAATAATATTGTGAAATGAGTATTCCAGAACACATAATTGTGCTCATGAGAAACCTGTGCAAAGAACAAGAGGCAGTTGTTCCAACAGAATGGAAATGAAATCAGGGAAGGTGTGCACCAGGGTTGTATTCCTTTGCTATACTTATTCAGGTCTCTATGATGAGCAAATAATCTAAAAAAGTGGATAATATGAAGAAGAATGTTGCATCACAATTGGAAAGAAGATTCATTTAGAACCTACAATATGCAGATGATACTTATTGATGAAGTCAAAGCCTTTAGTATGGGTTGTACCTTAATGTAAAGAAAACAAAAATTGTCTCCACTGGACTTAATAAATAATTTTATGATAAAAAGATAAAAGATTGAAGTTGTCAAAGACTTCATTTTGCTTGGATCTACTCTGGGCACTCATAGAAATAGCAGTCAGTAAATCAAATGATACCTATGGATGCTGTAGATCAAAAGAGGGAACAAATCCTTACAGCAAGGATCATTCCTACCCCCTCCATACACAGGGTAGACAGGGATAGGCAACTTGGACAGTGGATACCCAAAATGGGGGGGCTACAAAGGCAAGAAGTGACTGGCTTACAAGCTTTCAAGAGGGAACCTAGATTCAGAGGGCGTGAAGGGATGTAGAATCTCCAATGAGTAGTATCCAATCTGTCTAGGTGGGGCTGATGAAATGAAATGCGAATGGGTCTCATGTGATACAATAGTGAATAATTGTTACCAGGACTGCTTGTGAGATTTCGAAATGTAAAGGTAGATGTTTTGTAGCAAGGTGGGGAGTGATTAACTTTTCAGTCTAGGAGTGGAGGTCCCTTGGACCATCAAGGAAGAAGAGTAGAGAGCGGAACCCTACCTAGAGAAGCAGTGATGCCTGAGATGGAGGCAGAGACGATGATGTTGAGAGATGGAGAAGCTGGGGACTTTAGACATAGAGAGGGAGAGGGGCTGTGTGCTGATGAACGGGTTGCAGGCTTGTAATGTATACCCTTTGGTTGGTTGATAATGCATGGATGGGATTGTAACCATGGCAATGAAATGATATATGATAGGATGAATGTAAAACTAATGTTCTCCCATGTTAACTATTACATAATTCACAATAAAACATAAAAAACAATCAAATGATGCATTGCATTAGGCAAATATGCTGCAGAAGACCTCTCTACAGTGTTTAGGAGCCTAAATGTCAGTTTTAGGACTAAGGTGCACCTGACCCAAACCAAGCCTCTTATGCATGTGAGAATTGGACAGTGAATAAGGAAGACCATAGAAGAATTGATGCATTTGAGTTGCGGCATTGGAAGAGTACAGCCAGAATGCTCCTTAGAAGCCAGAATGGAGAGACTTTGTCTCTCATAGTTCAGACATATTATCATGAGGTAGCAGGCTCCAACATCTTATCCATGTTTTTAAAAGTTCTGTGTCTTCACTGCAGACTAGTATGTGAAAGAATCAAGCCTTCATTTGTCACACCGAGGCTGTCAGGAGCCTCAGGACTCTCACCTTGTTTTAGTTGTATCATTTTGTAAGGCCTGTTTTTTCAGTCACCTCAGAACTTTAGTTTTTCTGTGTTTGACCAAATTTTATAAAGCAGGAATGTCAGGAGGCAGTAAATTTTTCACATTATGCCCGTATGTTCAAAGATGTCTGAGCTGGGGACACAGAGCCATCTGATCAGAGGGCCCTCTCCTGTTCTACAACACCTGCCTACCTCCAAACCAAAACAACAAAAAACCCCACAAACCCATTATCGTTCATTTGATTCCAACTCATTAACCCTATAGGACAGAGTAGAACTATTCCCTAGGGTTCCGAGGCCGGCATTCTTTATTGGAGCTGAGAGCCTCGTCTTTTTCCTGAGCCGTGTTTGGAACCTTTAGGTTGGTGGCTGAGCACTTAACTGTTGTGCTACCAGGGCTCCTTTTCACAGTTATAAAACTCATTGCCATTGAATTCGACAGAGTCATGTCTGATTCTAGGACAGAACAGAACCGCCCCTTAGGGTTTGTGAGGCTGTAAATCTTTATGAAGGCACACAGCCTCATCCTTCTCCTGCAGATCAGCTGGTGGGTTCAAACCATGGACCTTTCGATTGACATCCAGCACTTTAACCACAGCACCACCAAGGCTCCCTCGCCTACGTGTAGGGTCTCTGTGTATGTGTTGTTGTGCAGGCTGTACCTGACCTGATAGATTAACAAAGCTGTCAGCAGGACCCTGACTTAGAGCAGGCATCCTATGGAGAAGAAATCTGTTTCATGTTCAGTGGAGCAAACTGAAAGTCACAGGAGCTGCTGGGAAGAAGCTGTGTCTGGGTGGGAAGACCAGTAGGGCCTGGCATCACTTGATTCATCTGTTAGGCTGCATGATCGCAGAGACCTCACTTTCTACCACTACCACTGCTGTCCAGTTGCCCCATAGGACAGAAGAGAGCTACCCCTAGGCTTTACAGAAGCAGACTGCTACATCTTTCTCCCACGTAGCAGCTGGTGTGTTTGAACTGCTGACCACTATACCACAAGGCTCCTTTAACACACTTGAGGTTTCTGAGATGCTGCATTGTTCTCCTTCAGCTCATTTACTTCTAGACCGACTTGTTGAGGGAGTGTGACATTATGAAGGACCCTTCATGCCTGGCCCAGTCTGTGGTGCTGTGGGTGATGCCTTCATCTGCTCTCTCAGGTTGTGCTTAACAGACATTAGCCCTTTGCCACTCAGGGAAGGGTTCAAGGCCAGCAAGCTGTCTGTGAGTAATCAATAGTGATTGTTGTATGAATGGCTTTGGGCCCCTTGCTTCATTGTTAAGAGTGGCACATCAGCTGTGACTGCATGTGCCAGCCCATGCAGCTGCCTTGGGGCAACTCCTCCTGTAGGATCCTCGCTTCCCATGGCTGTTGGTATGGAAGCAGGTGTGGCAGATGATGGCCAAGGCCCTGCAGATTGTGGAGCAAGGTGGCACAGCACCTGTGGTTATCATAAGTCAGTTTCCTTGGCCCCTCTCCTCTGCAGGCATTCATGGTCAGCAGGCCAGAATCATGGAGCCAAGAGGACCCTGAGGAAGCACCAAATCCAGTACCTTGAGACATCTGGGTCCAGAGAGGGCCAGGGCAGGGAGGATGCAGGGAAAACTCAGGAGTTTCAGAAGGGGCTATGGTGTGAGAGTCTCAGGAACCTGCAGTGCAGTGATGGACGTGTGTGATCAGTTTCTTCGGGACTTCCTGGGGATGCTGCACTCATCACAGCCTTGGGGGCTACAGTGGCTGGCAGTTGGACTTTCTGTCTTTGACCTATGAAATGTGGAGAACTTGCTTTAGCTTCATCAATACTCCATTGTGGTGGTCAAGTGCAGAGTCCAGTGGGGCTATGAGTTTGACAAAGGAGTAGGTAGATTTGGGAATTCTGGGAAAAAGTGATCAAGAGTCTCAGAAGGAGCTAACACCTGGCCCCAGGCCATCACTGTGGTGGGGTGGGGGTTTTGAGTGGTAACTGGTAAGAGGTCTGGGAGACAGTAAAAATGTGTTGTAGTGTGCAGTTGAGTTGGTTCCGACTCATAGGGACCTTGCATACGGTTTTGGAGGCTTTAAATCATCATGGGAGCAGATAGCCTCATCTTACTCATGTGGAGCCTGGTGGGCTCAAACCCTGGGCCTGTGGTTCACAGTCCAGTGCATATTGAATGGAGCCATTGTGCTCCCAAGTGAAAATGTAAGGGGTAGATTTCTTTTCCTACAGGGAGTTAAGCCTTGGGTCCTGGGGACTGACAGATGGCAGCTGTTGTTTAGGGAAGGAATGATTTATAGAGTTGTCTAGCAGTTGCTGATCACTGCTTTTCCACTCTTAAGAAAACCCCTTTGGCATCTCTGGTTTGCATTTTGTTACTAAACAAAGTAACATGGGCTGTGGGGGATATTACCCCTGCATCTGTCTAAAATTAAGAGCCCTTTTTGGTGTTCATTATACTATAAAAATATCAAAGTCTGGTTCTGAAGATAAAAGGAGGTCACAGAGACCTTCCATTTCTGGAGAGTGACGAGATCCTTTTGGGCGTCTGGGCGAACTTGAGGTCTGCCAATGCCTGCTCAGACCTTTGGCACTGGATCCTGTTATCAGAAGGCAGATGCCTTCCTGCCTCGTGGGGCAGATGTGGGCCAGATGTGTACCACAGTTGAACCCTTGATGTCAGCAGAATGGCTTTTACTGCTGCAAGGTTGGCGCCTGGGCTGCCCAAGGTCTGCCCGCCTGCCTGTCTATCCCTGTGCCTGAGACATGACCCTCATAATGACCCCTCTTGCTTTGCTCACAGGTGGGGAACTACCTCCGTATGTTCCGAGGTTCTCTGTACAAGAGATACCCCTCACTCTGGAGGCGGCTAGCCACTGTGGAAGAGAGGAAGAAAATAGTTGCATCGTCACATGGTAAAAAAACAAAACCTAACACTAAGGGTGCGTCTCCACGAGGGTTTGTAAACCTGTTTCAAAACCACTCGCTTATGTCATTGAGATAAAACGTTTTCATTCCAGTGTCTTCTCCATAGCCCTGCTTTAGTTGGATGCTGCCAGGGCGTCCCCCAGGCAGTGCCACCCTGCCAGCCACCATCAGAGGACATGAAAGCTCTGAGTGAGCCCACTGTGGGGGGGGGGAGGGGGCGCACACGGGGGGGTGCGGAGAGGGAGGGGAGCAGGTGCTGTGAAGACACGCTGGTCTCAAAACGTTTTAGGAATGCTGTGATGCTCTGCCCTCCGCGCGGTGTGTTGACCTTGTTCATCATCCTCCATGCCACCTGAGCAGTGGGTGGTAACCCCGCCGCCCACTCTCCGGTCTTCACTGCTTGCTTCCCAGAACACCCATCCCTGTAGTGCCCCTTTGTGGGCAGCAGTACCCAATCCATGTGCATGTCCGGGCTTAGTGGGGCGGGCTCATATACCGCTGGTAGGGAGCTGCTCGACCCTTATGAAAGTAGTGTGCCTCTGGCCTCAGAAGCTCTGTACAGGATCTCCCTGAGGAGACAGATGCTGGAGGCACTTTGTAGAGAGCTGCCTGAAGCTCCGTGTGTGTGAGTGAGTGAGTGAGTGCGTGTGTGTGTGTGTGTGTGTGTGTGTGTGCGCGCGCACATGTGTGCACAAATCCAGTTAGCTTCTGTCTGTAGGCGCTACTGTGGTCTTGTCCACTGGGGGGCAAAGTAGTGGTTCTTTTAACTCAGGAGCCGGAGCTGCTTTTCCACTTGCTGCTCTAACTTTCCACTGATCGGCTTAAATGGCGCCCTGTCCTTTCTATTCACTCACGCGCTGAGGCCCTGCTTGACTTTCCCCTCTGCCCACCAGAGTGAGGTCCTGGTGACAGGCCTGCCTCGCGCTTGGAGACCTCTCCCGTAACTGAGACGGAGGCCCCCCCTATCACCTGCCTGCCCTCAAACAGCACGCTTCCACTGGTACCTGGGAACCCATGTTTGGAGTGGAGCAGCTCTTTCAAACTAACTGGGCTCTTGTTTTAAAAGAAAATATTCCTCCATCTTTCATCCCATCCCTCCACTCTGCTTCGCGTCGCAGGGTGCAGTGGTGTCAAACCTCTGCCTGCTGGTGCTCACCCTGGGAGTTCCAGGGTCAAGTTTCTGCTGCTCTGCTGTGCGGTCATTGCTGGTATGGCTGCCCTATACCATCCTCCACTCTAGAGGTAGCACCTTCTGGATTTACTCAGACAAACCCATGGTGGTCTCCCCTCTTGTACTTGTCTGTAAAGCCCTCGGGCCCCTTGGCCTTTTTGGAAGAGGCTGACGCTGGACAGCTGTGGGTTTGACACCTTGCTCTCCCTGCACCCTGCATGTAAGGACCCTTGATGTGCTATGCCCACTGCTGGCTGCTGCCCGGACTTCCTGACCTCTCCGTCCTGCAGGCTGACTGAAGCAGTATCTCTCTGTTACAGATCATGGGTACACAACACTGGCCACCAGCGTGACCTTGCTGAAGGCCTCTGAGGTGGAGGAGATCCTGGATGGCAATGATGAGAAGTACAAGGCCGTCTCCATTAGCACAGAGCCCCCCACCTACCTCAGGTACAGCTCCTGGGCCCTCCACCTTCCTCAAGCACAGTTCCCAGGGTGGTGCAACACCAAGTGCCTGCGCTGCTTTGACCTGTGCTGGGGTCAAGTACATCTTTTAAACATTACCAACTGTGCACACATATATTGTCTTAGATCAGTCTTCTACTGTTTCCAGATTTTTAAGAGATGTAAGCCAGATCCTGGTGCTGGCGAGTCACTGGGACTGCCATGAAAGTAAGCCGTGGTTTATGCATAAGAAAACGGAGTGGCCCAGGTGAACCATGGATTTGAAGGCATAGTAACATGGCACATTTAAAAGAGCAGTTTGTTACTCAGGTCGAGTGAGAGGCTGACAAGTTGCTGTGTGATAGAGAAAGTGTGTTCAGTCTGCTGTGGGAGAACAGCTGGCTGCTCTAAGGGATCAGTGGGTGGAGGAAACAAGTATGAGGGAGAAGTCCTGGCTCTGGTGGTGCAGTGGGCTAAGCATTGGGTTGCTCACTGCAAAGTCAGTGGTTCGAACCCACCAGCCTCTCAAGGAAGAAAGATGCGGCTATCTGCTCCCATAAAGATTTAAAACCTCAGAAACCCTATGGAACCATTCTACTTTGTCATACAGGGTTGGAATCGACTGGATGGCAGTGGGTTTGTTTTGGATTGCTGGAAAATTTTTAAATAAAGAAAGCCCAATAGCAAATAAGAGCAGAACTCTGTGGCCTTTGTCAAGCTCTGAGAGCAGACAGTTCTGTCCCCTCTGACTAGCATCTGCACACCCAGAGTTTCCCGAACAACTAGGGGACACCTGGGGGCCCTGGGAATCCAACCTCAGAGAATGACCACACCAGTGAAGAGCTAGGCTGTGACCCTTGTGTTTACGTCAGATAGTTGCTGCAATGACCTGAAATCGTGAGACAAGCCAAATGCAGGATCCCACCTACCTCTATGATGACCTAGTTTGCTTCCTGCTCTGAGAAAACAGGCGCCTCTAGGTACAAGACCCGGGCACTCAGCAAAACAAAAAGAAAACAGGATTCCTGCTAAGATGTGGTGATGGAGAGTCATTTCTTTCCAGATTTGTTTCTCAACTCTAACTGGATTGTTTCTCTGATTCCAAGAAAAGCAGAAGTTGGCAGACATCCAGCTGGATGTGCTGGAGTCCTGTGCTCTGCAGATTCTGCCCCTGAGGGATGTATAAGAACGCAGGGGCCCCCCACAGGAAGTTATTTGTGTTGCAGGGGACTTTCAAGTCTGCATAGTCAGCTGGGAGGCTCCTGGGCCCCTAGCACATTTGTGCGTGTGGTGTCACATGAGGAGCAGCCGTGGGAGTAGAGCCTCCATCTCTGCTGAGGTGTGAAGGAGGTAGGGAGCACTGTCAGCATGGCAGGGGACACTGCCAGGTACACACTCCAGTCAGGGCTCAGGGAATGGGGCTTGAGTTCTATGTCCTGTGTCCACTGTGTTGGAACACAGGTGTGTTCTCCGTGTCTGATGGAGTTGAGCAGATTGTCACTCAAGATGGCTGTGTCTGATGCAGCTTCTGTGCCTGGTGTAGCTTCCGTGCCTGGCACAATGTAACTCAGGCTGTGCACTGGAAGTGACTGCCCAGCAGACAGAGACAGTGCAGCCCAGCCAAGATGTGAGTGAACAATGGGAGTGGGTTCAGCTCCAGGAAGAGAGCTGCTGCGGAAAGGGGGCCACCTGCACTGGAACTGCCCAGGGACGTTGTGAAGGGTTCATATTCCCAAACCTACCCTAGGTCTGAGTGGGGTTCAGGACTCGCCTGCCTAGCATTGTGTACTCTGTGTGATGGTGTGCAGCAAGGATTGGGGACCACACAGGCTGTGGTGAGGACCCAGTGTTGCTATCCCAGCTCTCAGTTACTTCCCAGAAGAGCCTGTTTCCCCAGGTCTCTGGTCACAACCTCACAGCAGGCCTGCATTCAGAAAACGTGATAGAGCCCTCCCCAGCTAACCTACGGATGAGTGGTCCTGGGCCAGTGCTCAGGCGGCTGCCTCTGTCCCTAACCCCTGGACAAGTGCATGCCTGCATGTCATGGAGGGCAGGGAACCCGGCAGCCTGTATCACTGGATCGTGACCATCACTGGAAGGCATTGTGCCAGGGGTGCAAGTGGGAGCCTGAGCTAAGCAGTTACTGCTCTCATGCTGCTGAGTCTCCAGAGGGGAAACACAGAGCCTGGGATGAGTCTGCTGCTCAGCCCAGTGGCTCAGTGTAGGATAGCTCCAGGGGCTTTTCTAGTGGTTAAGAAAAATACAAAAACAAAACCCACTGCCATCAAGTCGATTCTGACTCACAGCAGCCCTATAAGATGATTGAACTGCTCCCTAGTGTTTCCAGTACTGTAAATCTTTACGAGAGCACATGGTGTCATCTTTCTCACAAGGAGCAGCTGGTGGGTTTGAACTGTCATTCTTGGGGTGAGCAGCCCAGTGCTTAAGCCATTGCCCCAGCAGAGTTTCTTCTTGTCATAAGTGCACCCTGTAATTTGAAGTGAGCCCTTCATGGGGCATAGGTTATGTCAACAACCTTAATTGTCACTTTCTAGAAGGCACTACCAGTGTGTCTTTTCACCACTCTGTCTAACCTGGCAGCTAGGAGCCCTCACGTCTAAAACAGCACTTTCTACCCTCCTGTTTGTTCCTCCTGCAGTGACACCCATTGCCTCAGCTGTGGCTGGGCTCTTCATGCCTGGAACCCCCATAAAATGCCTGTCAATAAGGTGCACCTTCCCTGCAGTGTCTCTTCTCACAGTGGGAGGGCCACTCCTCCAGGAGCCATCCTGACATTTAACGTGGTTTGTTATGGCCGTGGGCTAGCGTCTGACTGTGCGCTGGGCTGGGCTGGGCTGCTGTGCTGTGTTGGTTGCCTGGAGCCCTGTCCTTGAGGAGTCCAGGGCGTGACTGGTAGGGGTGGATGCCCACTCTGAGTCGGGTGTAGAGAAGCCAGGCAGGATGTAACGGACTTAGCAGTTCTGGGTGCCCAGACTTGACCAGAGAGTGAGGTTGCCATGTCTTTCCAGGGAGCAGAAAGCCAAGAGGAATAGCCAGTGGGTGCCCACCCTCCCCAATAGCTCTCACCATCTGGACGCTGTGCCCTGCTCCACCACTATCAACAGGAATCGCATGGGCCGAGACAAGAAAAGGACCTTCCCTCTCTGGTGAGTGCACCCTCTGACCAAACAGGCCCATGCCACCCTGCCACCACCTCAGTGCCCGGATGTGGGTCCACATCTCTTTTTCAGAAAAGCACTGCACTCTGACCTGATGTCCCAGGAAGCTCCCTGCTTCCTCAGCACGCTTACCCTCACTTCTGGGACCACAATCTCACTTGTCCTGCCTACTTTTGTTTTTGTTTTTCCCTCATCTCTTAGCACCTCAAGTAGAGCTTCCTAGGATACCACCCCAGTCTCTTTTCTCTGACGTCATTTTCTTAAGAGCTGGGATGGCTGTAAAAAGCACCACAGACTCAGTGGCTTTAACAACAGAACTATATCCTCTCAGGATTCTGGAAAGCTGAAGTCAGAAATCAGAATTACTGGGTCAGGATCTGAAGGTTTTGATGGCTGCTTGAGTTTCCTGGATCATTCCGATCTTTGCCTTGTCTTCTGTGTGAATACTCCTTCTCCCTTTCTCTCTTCAGGAATGTGCGATGCTATTTATAGATCATCCCCCATCAAAAAAATTCATAATCTGTTTTGTTGTTGTTAAGTGCCGTTGAGTCAGTTCCAACCCATAGCAACCCTGTATATGGTTTCCAAGGAGCAGCTGGTGAGCTTGAACCATGGACCTTGCGGTTCAAACGGCTTTGCAGTCTGGCGCATTAACCCACAGCACCACACCAGGACTTCTCATAATCTATAAAGACCACCTCCCCACCCCCTTTTTTTTTTTGCCATTTGTGGTACCATTCAAAAGTTACAGAAGTGAGGACATAGATAATCTTTTATTTATTATTAAATCTTACGTGAAGGTTTACAGAGTGAGTTGGTTTGACATTTAATTCATTCATACTCATTTTATTTTGTGATATTGATTGCTTTTCCCACAGTATAGTCTCAGGGGTTCCACCAGTTTCATCTGACCAGTAAACTTACTCTTTTTTTTTTTTTTTTTTAACTTTTTATTATGAATTGAATGAAGGTTGACAGACAAGATCATCAGTTTTACATTCAACAAGTTATACAGTTTGTTTCATCTCAATGATCACAATCCCCTCTGGTGTGGCACTGTAGGGTAATGCACTGATCTGCAAGGTCAGTGATTCAAACTCATCATCAGCTCCTTGGAAACCCTATACAGGCTTGCTATGAGTTGTAACTGGACTCGACGGCACTTAACAACAACAACCATGCATCCTCCCTGTGGTTACTGTTTCCATCCTGCCCACCTTCCCATCCCTTTTCTACTTTGTCCTTAGGTAAATGCTGCCCTTTTGATTTTCAATGATTGACCTTTCTCTATGGTGAACCTCCCTCCCCATTGTTGTTGTCCCCCTATGTACCTATCTACTGTTTGACTGAAAATTGGACCACAAGGGTGAGTTCCTTTCTAGACTGAAGGGTGGTTGAGGGCCATAGTCTCAGGTTCTTCCAGTCTCTTTCTCACCAGTAAACCTGGTCCTTTTTTAAAATAATTTTTAGTTTTGTTCCACATTTTTTCCCACTCTATCCAGGACCTTCTAATGTGATCCTGTTCAGTGCAGTTGGTAGTAGTAGCCAGGCACCGTCTAGTTCTGGTCTCAGAGTGGTGGAGACTGGTGGTCTCATGTTTCATTAGTCCATTGGACTAATTGATTCCAAGCATCTTCAGTTCTCATCACTCTTCTTTCTTCCACACATGAAGAGATCAATAGCCGTACCTTAGGTGAACTTTTAAGACACTACTCACTAGAGCAGGATATATAGAACATTTCCTTTGTGGAGTATGTTATATCAGTTTACCATGGTTCCCCCTAAGACAATGGTCCTGAGTCCCCAGGCCCAGCAACTCATTACCTTAAGATGCTTGAGAATATCTAGGAAGCTTTTATCACTTTTCTCACTGTATGCTCCACCACATTCATAATTGTGTTTTCAGGAAAGGGAAATACCCATGTACCAATATTCTTTCTCAAAATCTTAAAAATCTTAAATATGTGTAAGATATATGTATGTGTGTGTATCCCAATTGTCCTCCCAAACCCATTCAGCCTTTGTTTCTGTCCGTGTTATCTACCTGCAGAACAGTGTTCTTCCAAGGTTATGTATTTACCTCTATCCCCCTTTAGCCCTTTCATACAAACCTCTTTTTTTCTGACTTTGAATTTGGCTCCACATATTTCTCCCATTCTTCCCACGATCTCCTGTTGTGAGCCATTTCTGAGTGGTGAGCATCTCTCGTTCTGCTCTCAGTTGGTGGAGGCTGGGGTTCATGTAATTCATTAGTCCTTGGACTCATTGCTTCCATGTGGAGGGTGCAGCTGTCTTGGCACAGCCATTTTCAAGCCTACCACACCCACATTTGCTCACAGACCCAGACCTTCTCACTGCTTAGCATCCTCATGACATCTCTGCTACCTGCGGACTTCCCCATTTCAAGGGACTGCCCAGGCCAGTTACTGAACCCTTTCTCAAAACTGTGTTTTCTCACACCAGCAATTCGTTCTCACCAAGTTCCTGCTGCTCAGCCATCCACATCTCAAGTCAGGCCACTCAGCACCACCCTCTTCCCACTACCTCATCCACCTTCCCACACCTCTCTCTGGGCAGGAAACCGGTGTCCCCCCATGACCCCGGTCTGTCCTCAGCCCCTGTACCAATGGTAAGCCTCTTGGGCACAGGGCTGATGGTATCACTTCTCCTGAGGGAGCCAAGTCCTCCTGGGCTTCAGGCCCTGCCTTGTCCACTACTGCAGCTCTCGGCCCTCGCCCATGCTTCACACAGGCCAAGGCTTCCCCATTGCTGTTTGTTCTGCCTTGAGCTCACCCACAGCCATGTCTGCCTGGCTTTCCTTTTCCTCCACTTCGCTTCCTCAGCTCGGCCTCCCCACTTGGTCTTGGGCACTGTGCCCTTCCCTGCTTTCTGTGTCTCCACAACACTCATCTCTGCTGCATGGCATGCAGGCTGTGTGCTTGTCATCTGTTTCCCACACTCTGAAGGCAGCACTCGACTCTCATTCTGAAAACACCTGCCGCCTCCAGCTTCCCTTCTGTCTTCCTGAATTGCGGACATGGTCCTTCCTGAAATATTTGCGTCGTCCTTGTCCAAGGTCCATCTGGGACTCCCTCCAGGTGGAGCCAGGCCTGCATCCAGAGATGAGCACCATTGCTCTGTGGCCTGAATGCCTCCTAGCAGCCGCCACAGTACACTCTGTCATTGCCCCCCTCCTGCCTGTGAGCCTTTGCTGAGCAGTTTGCTTTTCTAGATCAGTCTTTCCCTTTCCGGGCTTTCTAGGCCAGTCTGACCAACTTTGGGGCTAGGTCCCCTGCTGTCTGATGCATAGCCGTCCCTTCCAGTGCCCATGTGTTTAGAGTGGCCTGCTAAACATCTCTAACGAGTGGGGCTGGGGAACCATGCCAGTGGTCCTGCTGCAGAGAAGGCTTCTGACAGTCCATGTCCCAGGGCACGACAGCACCCTTGTGTGGAGTGTCATTGCATTCTTGCTTCCAGTTTCGACGACCACGACCCCGCTGTCATCCATGAGAATGCATCGCAGCCCGAAGTGCTGGTTCCCATTCGACTGGACATGGAGATCGATGGGCAGAAGCTCAGGGATGCCTTCACCTGGAACATGAATGGTACGTGGGAGGCCAGACCAGGCCTGGCCACTGTGGCATTGTGGTACTGCACATGAGTGCACAAGCGTTGGGTTCCTCCTCGTGCTGCTGGGCTGTGGGAAAGGGCCAGCTGCTAGTCCACATAGCTTGGAGAGTGACAGTAGTGAGGATCAGAATCCAGCTTAGCCACCTGGCCATCCACACACACATCTTCATTCTATATCAGTTCCTGCTCATCCACGATGCCAGGTACCCAGGCCTTCCCTCACCATCCTCCTCAGTGCGTGGCACTGGATGTTGTCTCCCTGCTCTTCCTGGACCCCTGAGTCCATGCATATGTGCATGCAGACACAGAGCAAGAGAGTGAGAGGCTGCAGCAGGCTCTAGGCAGTGTGGAGGGTCCTGTGGGGGTTTTGCTTTATTTTCTTACTGAATCTCTCAGAATTTCACAGTGAGCATGTTTCTCTCAGGCAAAATTCAGTGAATAGCTTCAGACTGAATGAGTATGTAGGAGGGAGAGTGGGAGTAGAGAAGGAGAAAAACCCCAAACCGTGAATATCCTTTCAAAGCAGGATAGCCAGGAGGCTGGCTGCTCCAGTAAAGGTTTATTTTACCATCTTGGAAGCAATTCCACTCAGCCTTATAGGCTCATTATTAGGAGTCAAATTGACTTGGTTTTAGTATCGTTTTAAAATGAAGACAAATTTAAATCGCCAGAACCTCACCACCCAAGCAGTACTTTCAGTGTCGTATTTTCCCTGCTGGGCTCTTGCTCTCATGCATGCGTTGATTGTAGTTGTAATTACTGTTGTTGTTAAGTGCTGTCAAGTCAGTTCTGACCCATACCGACCCTGTGCACAGTAGAACAAAACATCCTCACAATTATTATTTATCCTGAATCCACTGCTGCTGCCACTGTGCTAGTCCACTTATTGGGGGGTCTTCTTTTTTGCTGACCCTCCACTTTACCAAGTATGATATCCTTTAGGGACTGGTCCCTTCTGACAATATGTCTGAAGTATGAGAAGCTGAGTCTTGACATCCTACCTTCTCAGGAGCATTCTGCCTGGACTTGTTTCTAACACAGATTTGTTTATTATTATCTTCATGATACCTTTAATGTTCTCCAACACCGTAAGTCAAAAGCATCAATTCTTCTGCTGTCTTCCTTATTCACTGTCCAACTTTCACATGCATATGAGGCGATTGAAAATACCATGGCTTGAGTCAGGTGCACCTTAGTCCTCAAACTGACATCTTTGCTCTTCAACATTTTAAAGAGGTCTTCTGCAGCAGATTTGACTAATGCAATACATCGTTTGATTTCTTTACTGCTGCTTCCATGAGTGTTAATAGTGGATCCAAGCAACATGAAGACTTTGACAACTTCAGTCTTTTCTCCATTTCTCATGGTGTTATTTATTGGTCCAGCTGTCAGGATTTTTGTTTTCTTTACATTGAGCTACAATCTTTGATCTTCATCAATAAGTATATAAGTCTTCTTTGTTTCCAGAAAGCAAGGTTGTATCATATGCATAGCACAGATTGTTAATGAGTCTTCCTCCAATCCTGGTGCCATGTTCTTCATTTAATCCAGCTTTTTGGATTATTTGCTCAGCATATGAGGTTTCTCCGTATTTCCTTGATATTGGACCCAAAAAAACATTTGTTGTGTTTACAGTATTTTTTCCCCAGGTGGGAGATTTCTTTCTTTTTTTGTGTGTGTGAACTGAGTGATAGTTTACATGGGAGAACATCAGCTTTACACCATCATTTCATTGCAATGATTACAGTCTCCTCCATGCATCATCATTCAACAGTATTTGCTTCCATTCCTTCTGGTGTTTTTTTTTTTGTTTTTGGTGGTGGGGAGAGATGTACGCAGAAACACTCAGGATTATATAATAATTTAAACAACCAAAGGGCACATTCTGCAAGCCTGCCTCCTGGCCGTCAGCACTCAGTCTCTGTCTTTCCAAGTCCTCAGCTGCTTAGGAGGGGGCTTTCTTAAAGAGGAATTACGTGGTTTTTTTTTTTTTTTTTTTTGAGGAACCAGGGCTTCCTTTGCCTGTTCCCAGAGACTTGGTGTCACAGTACGGCGGTTGTCACAGCGAGGGCTGCCAGACTTCACTGTCATATATCATGTTCCTTGTTGAGGGCTGTGGGATTTCTGTACTACTTCTGCCCAGCATTGCACTGGGCGTCCTGCATAGGAGTCCTGGTGTAAAACACAGTGCCACACAGAATGTAATTTTGTACTGTTTGTTTGGAGGGTGGAGTCCTGGTGTGACACTGTAGGATAAGCACTGGACTGCTCAATGCCAGGTTAGCTGTTCAGACCCACCAGCCACTCCTCATAAACCCTATATTGGGTTGCAATGAATGGGAACCAACTCCGTGGCACTTAACAACAGCAACATTCTTGGGGAACCAGATTTGTAGTGGTCTGCAGATTATTTCCTATGATATTTAAAGCATCTTGAGCCCTGGTGTGGCACTGTTGTAGAACAAGCACTGGATTGGTGACCATAAGGTCACTCTTCGGAAACCCTAAACAGGGTTGCTGAGTCCAAACCACAGTGTTTGGTCTTCTCCACAGTGTGAAAAAGACTCTCATGTCCACCTTTAAGGCGATTTGAGTAAATTGGCTGGGTGGTTGGTGGTGTGCCATGGAGTTGATTTCGACCCATAGCGACCCTAGGGTTTCTGAGGCTATAAATCTCTATGGAAGCAGAAAGCCTCATCTTTCGCCTGTGGAACAGCTAGTAGTTAAGTGCCAACTCAACAGCACTTAACATCAGCATCAGATCCCTGGTGGTATAGTATAGTAGGTTAGGGGTTTGCTGCTCACCCCAAAGTCAGAGGTTCAAACCCACCAGCCGCTTCAAGGAAGAAAGGTGAGACTTTGCTCCTGTAAATGACTCACAGCCTCGGGAACTCTCTGATCTGTTCTGCTCTGCAGGCTAAGTCTGAGTCAGAATCGACTTGAGGGCAGTAGATAGGTTTAGGGGTGAGGAGGAGCCTTGATTGGGAAGGAGCCCTGGTAACACAGTGGTGTCAGCATTGCACTGCTAACCAAACGGTCAGCAGTTTGAAACCCCCAGCCACTCTTCAGAAGATGAAGCTGTCTGCTCCTGTAAACTTAGGGAGCAGTTCTACTCCATTCTCTAGGGTAGCTATAAGATCAACTCAGCAGCAGTGGGTTTGATTTGTTTTTGAGCCGTGATTCTTAGCTGCTGGTTAGGAGGCTGCACCTGTAACATGGTCATTAAAAGAACACTTTCAGAGTTACTGTTGATTTGTTGTGGTTTTAGCCATATCTAATTTACGCAAATAAGGAGCTCTGGTAGTATAGTGGGTTATGATTCGGGCTGATAATGACAAAGTCAGCAGTTTGAAACTACAAGCCTTTTCACAGGAGAAAGATGAAGCGACACTAGCTTCATCTAACTTTTTCACACTGAGGCAACTGTGTGCCCTCCAGGCCGTCCTTCTTGATGAGGATTTGTCTCGAGCTTTTGGTAAGCTTCGGTTTGCAGTGAGTTCAAGATTCCCTTCTCTGGAAAGGACTGGATATGTGGCTTATCTGAGTTGCTAGTGAAGTACGGTGTCATTTGTCTTCACAGTCAACTGAGCGAGGGCACTGTTCAGATGCTCCAGAAAGGTTGAATTTCCTAACAAGAACACTTACCTAATTAGATTCCACTCTCACCAAGAAGTGGGACTAAGGTATACCAACCAGAAGAGGGCCATGAGCTGCCTCAAGTAAAGGTTTGGACTCAGTCCTAGCATTCAGACCCATGGGAATAGGGATGGGGAATGAGAGAAAAGAGACAGTTGGTCTGACATTCAAGATGGTGTGTGGACCATTCTTGCAAGATTGCAGCTGGTGTTTGACCTGCCTTGAATGGCTAGGGCTGAGCTGACCAGAACCTGATTTAATGAAGAGAGAAAGATGTTTTGACACTTTGAAAGTTTGTTCCAAACTGGACTTTGATTATGAATACAGTTGACCAAAGTTCCAAAAGAAGCAGAAGATTCTTCAGATCTAGAAACATATTTGTCTCCTCAGAGTACTGAGTTGATAGGGACAGGCAGTTTAGAAATTGAGTATTTAAAATGGAGGGAGAAAAAAGGCATGAAATGGCCTACTTTCATGGGTGTGCTTACAGTAAAATGATTGGGAGGGTGACTTAACCCTTGAAGTATGAAAGGGCCAATGGATAGAACAGCCAGGAGTAGCCTGTGGTACAGTGAATTACTTAATACAGCTCTTCTAGCCATAGTCTTTCTAACTCCCACCAAATAATTAGATGAGATCATTCAGATTGGGTCTGGGTAAGAGAAACAAGGTGAGGGGAGATGCTAATAGGAGTATATGATTTCATTGTGAATGATTGTTACCAGGGTTCATTGTGTTTGTGAAAACTTAGTACTCTAACATGGGGAATGATCAGTTTTGCCATCCTGCTGGGTATAAAATGAGCCATCTCAGGAGCAAAATAGGAGCTCTCAGGACCATCAAGAAAGAAGCACCAGAAGTGGAGTATGTGCACGTTAAACCTTCTCCACCTAGGACACAACTGTGATGGCAGAGAAATGGCAGCAGTAGAATAAAGAGAGCATGAGACAGAGCAGTGTACTTCACAGCCTCCAAGCAAGTAAAGTTGAGTGCCTTCAAGCAGGTGCTTCCCTTGCTGAGTGGGGTTGTCTCTTGTTGTTGTTAAGTGCCATCGAGTCGGTTCCAACCCATAGCAACCCTGTACAGGGTTTCCGAGGGTGTAAATCTTTACGGGGGTAGAAAGCCTCATCTTTCTCCCTCGGAGCAGCTGGTAGTTTTGAACCACTGACCTTAAGGTTCGCAGCCCGATTCGTAACCACTACGCTACTAGAGCTCCTTGGGTTGTCTCTAGGCACTTAATTATTGGAGGAGCTAGGTTTGCTAATCCATGACACTGAAGCTAGAGCCAAGAGCCTTTGGGCTGAAGTTTATGGCAGAGTGGCATGCCCTTTGGGCATTT